TTGGCACACTATTGCACTAATGCATTCACACTCAGTAGCACATTATATAAATGGTTTTCTTTTATTATTAAAACCATTTCCCAGACAATGTTTGACGGTTGCCAAAATAGTAGCCTACCTGTCATGACAATAACCACATTCACCATCAGGAGGCGACATACTCACTCATGTAGAATTCTGCTAGCACAATCCGAAATAGATTAAATAAACCAAACTTTAAACGATAACTCCCTCCCTTCCGCTATTGAGCAATACTGCGATGTTGAGCGCGTTAAGTTTCCACAGTTGAAAAAGTGCATAATCTTGCTATTTATTTCACTGTTAATGCACTACTTAAAGTATTATCAATGGCTGAAAGAGTACTGAAAAATCATACATAGGTAAAAGTGCTTTCACTTGCCCAAAAATGTAGTGCAAGTAGAGTAAAAGTATCTGTTGTAAATATTACTTAAAGTATAAGTAAAAAGTCGCCCTTTCAAAAGTACTCATGAGCGGTAAGTATTACGCTGTGAAAAGCTGATGCATTTGCATGTAATTTTTGTATGTTTGTGTAAACGTAACATTCTGTAGTGCATTTAGTTATTGCCCAGCAGGCACACAACATTATAAGACATTAATATTAGGTTAGATTTAGTGATGTCAGGTGACCAAATTTCAGTGTCTAGCCAGAGTCTAAGGTCAACGTTATTTTGATGCCCAATAACGACAACAAATGATATTGATATTTAATTGATTTTAGGTTGTGTTGGAAAGTGACCAAAATCTAATGTTGAGCCAACATCTTAAACCAACGTCATATTGACATTAAATACTGACATTTTTTCATCAGGTATGGCAACCAAAATCCATCATCTGATAGACATCATAGTGGTAACGTCCACACAATTTCAAGCTGTAACATCAGTAGACGTTGAAATTTTGTTGATTTTAGGTTGGATGTTGTACATTGACATCGGACTTTGGGTTCTGATGTCAACCCAATTTTCATTTCCGAATAAAATGCAATGTCTCCATGACGTGTGTAAAGTTGATCTGATGTCATGTTGCGGTCTTGTGCCTGCTTGGTGTTTAAGGCCTTTTTGGTCATCACACAGTAAACATCCATCATCTTTTCATTGTCTCAGGGTCAATGCGTGTAAAACATTTCAGACATCTTTTAATGATTCCCAACAGTTTGCTGCATTTATAAAGCGCCCATGTCTTGAGGTAGTTCATTATGATGCGATTTACCTTCTATGTGTGATTTAGTTGGACAGGAATTACAGGACAGATTTTTCTAATCCCCAATAAACAAGAAAAATAAAGTAGTAACTGCAGGTTGAAGGAAAGTAGTGGAGTAAAAGTACCGATACAGCACTTAAAATGTACTCAAGGACAGTAAAAGTACACATCTTTAAAACTACTTAGAAATTATAATTTCTGAGAAAAACTACGCAATTACAATAGTTTGAGTATTTGTAATTTGTAGTATTATACTACAAAATGGCGTAGAATAGTGTACGAGTATGTGATTTGGGACGCACCTTATATAAAATAATTTTTCTCTAAAACTTTTCTAAATATCAACTTTTACAAGTTCAAGTGCAGGTTGTTATTTTTATTTTAAAGTGGGTGTCTCTGTCCTGGAGAGCCCGCGACTGCTATATCTGACAACTCGCCATTAATGATCTGATTTGAGCGGAAGGGAAACTCTGATTGTAGACTCTGTTCTTTGAGGAGCAGGACTCTGAAATCACAATTTTTCATTTGTTCACAGACCGGACAGTGTGCAGAGGAAACTCTCTCTGTCATCTCTGTCAGCATGACTGGGCAATTAGAAGCTTCAAGTGCTTTTATCCTCTAGGCCTCGTCCATTAGCTGTTTGCAGGGAGATCTTTTTAAGTTGTCCTGTCAGCATAGGGTCTGCTCTCGCACGCAGGGGTGAATCACCTTTAAAACATGAATGAGAAATACTCACACCTAACTAGCTCAGTCTGGGAGAAAGACAAACATGTTTATTTAATGTTCAGGAATACATAGAGGTTTGTGCAAGGTCACATCAGTCACTAGGTTGTAAATTCTAATAAAAAAAGTGGTATTTACTCAATAAAATATGTGTGGTATACAGTCAATAAAGGATATATAACAAATTATTCATTTTTTACAATGTGATGATTTAATATTGAACATCTATGATGTATTTTATAGTGTAGTCTGAGCGCCCTCTATTGGAGAAAAGTTAGTACATTAGAAAAGTTTGTTTGTTTTATAAATTTGTGTTTAATTAAATTCAGCTAAATTGAAAAAGGCTTTAAGACCAATATAAATCATCTGTTGACCATCACATCATTGTGAACTCAGCTAATCAGTTTTGCTATTATTTTAGTCTAACATCCATTTGTGCAAGAAAACATACAATCGAATGTAAGTGATGTCATCTTTTGTTGTTTTCGTTCGAGAAAACAGTTTACAGACTGATTGCAGTAACCCATTTAAGTTTAAAAACTAATCCTAATAATTAATGTGAACCTAATTCATTTGAGTAAAAAAAGCAATTTGAGCAAAGTAAAACCTGATAAATGAAGAGAACTCAAACCAACTGAGTACTGTAAAACCCAAGAAGTTAAGGCAACTCAAACTGTATGAGGAAACTGATTGCAACAAACCATTTGAGTTAAAAAACGAATCAATATGAGTACTGCGAACTTGCTCCATTTAAGTTGAAATAATGAGGTATTTAATTGACCCATTACCTTTAACACTGAGTTCAAAACTCTTTTCATTCATTCATTCATTTTCTTGTTGGCTTAGTCCCTTTATTAATCAGGGGTCGCCACTGCGAAATGAACCGCCAACTTATGCCCTTCCAGCCGCAACCAATCTTTGGGAAACATCCACACACACATTCACGCATACACTACAGACAATTTAGCCAACCCATTTCACCTGTACCACATGTCTTTGGACTGTGGGGGAAACCGGAGCACCCGGAGGAAACCCACGCGAAGGCAGGGAAAACATGCAAACTCCACACAGAAACCAGCTACCAGCGACCCTGCAACCTTATTGCTGTGAGGCGACAGCACTACTTACTGCACCACTGCTTCGCCAAACTCTTTTTAAATTAGTAGAATTAACTTTCAGTAAATTTTGAGTTAACTACACTCATTTCATTTGATAAAGTTGACTGTTTTACAGTGTGTGAATTTTCAATCAAGTTTTTTTTACAAGTGAGTCTAGACAAATCATGATGCTCACTGCTGGCCAGTTTGTCATTTATTCATTTATTCATTCATTCATTCATTTATTTATTTTTATTGGCTTTATTAATCCGGGGGTTTTCCCAGAGATTGGTTGCGGCTGGAAGGGCATCCACTGCGTAAAAACTTGCTGGATAAGTTGGTGGTTCATTCCGCTTTGGCGACCCCGGATTAATAAAGGGACTAAGTGGACTTGTGGGGGAAACCGAAGCACCCGGAGGAAACCCACTCGAACACAGGGAGAACATGCAAACTCCACACAGAAACGGCAACTGATCCAGCCAAGGCTCGAACCAGCAACCTTTTTGCTGTGAGGTGAACATGCTACCCTCTGTGTCACCGTGCAGCCCCCAGTTTGTTATTTGCCTAATAAATGACATTTGGCTACAATTTTTTATTTAAAACCTGAACAGATTCCTATTTTTCTTTCTAATGATATATTTTGTTATAAATTTCTATTTTAAAAATAAGTATTTATTGATTTTACTTTATTCTAAATGTTAAGGAAATGTTTTGGTACATCAAAAAGTGTGGTTATGATGACCATCCAACAAGTTAATCCAGCTCAAAATAGTGCCTAAATTCAGTATTTAAATCTCATGAATAAATAGAAAATGAGGTGAATAAATGCAAAAAGGTCTACATTTTGAGAAAAAACAACCATCCGTTCCTTACACCAGGCTGGGTACAGGCTTTATACTGTATATATTTTTTATTTCCCAAGTACTTTTTAAACATAATAATTTTAATAACTAATTTCTAATCTAAATTTTCTTTTGTTTTTACCATAAAGTCAGAGTAAACAACATTATTTATTTTTATATTTTATAGTTATTTTGCAAGACACCAGTATTCAGCTTAAAGTGCAATATACGAGGTTTATTAAGTCAACTTTGCAAGTTGGGAAAATATTTACTTTTATTTATTTCTTTACGTTTTACTTTGTTCGTATTAATACAAATGTGAATGATCATTGCTGGATCATTTAAATTCACAGTGTTAACATGAGTTAATATATTACAGAGCAGAATATTTTTACAGCTTTATTTATTTTTGTTAATGTTAGTTTAAAGCATTATCATTTTTCATTGCCTATTAGTTCATGGTGTTAGTTGATCCATTATTTAACAATGAGCAATACATATTATAGCATTTATTTAACCAGGTGAATGTTAGCTCATTTATTTATTATTAGTATCAGTAACGGGGCATTAATTAATGCATTGATTAATTACCTGACTAAGAGCAACATATCTGTATTACATTTATTAACTACTTTTCTTATCCTTAGTAACACAGTTACAAAAGTTTGTAGCTTGTTCATTTCAGTTCATAGTGTTTGCAATAATTCATGCATTATATAATACATTAACTGAGGAGAATAATTTTTTATGTTACTTCATAGTGTTAATATTAGCTATTGTTTTAGTCACTTTTGTTACACTTTATAATAACAGTTCATAAGGAAATTATAGTTAATATATTTAATATTTAAGATGACCTAACAACTTTATTTTTATTAACTAACATTAAGAAAAGATTAGTGAATAATGTAATAACCTATTGTTCAATGTTTTAAATGTAACGCAACTACTGTAATTTAATTTACTTTAATTTAATCTTAAAATGGTTTCTTTTTAAATACTTTTGTACAGCATTTATTGATGGTTTATTAATTGCACACTCACCTAAAATTTAAAGTCTAAACAAACTGAGCATGTTATGAAGTCAAAAACTAAATGATACTAAATTGTTTTGCAGGATCCTGGATTTCCGCAGAGTGCCGCCGGTGGCCGGGAGACTAGTTAATATGACCAAAGAGATCCGAGACGTGACCCGTGACAAAAAACTGTGGAGAACTTTCTTCATTTCACCAGGTAGGCTACTATATCAAGCAGTCACTTTCAATAGTATCTGGATGCAGCCTTTATGATGCAAGCTGAGATTGCATCACTCAGCGATGCAATGTCAGACATAATGCACACAATGGAGTGAGTGACGTCACTGTGATGGGTAGGGTTAGGTGAGCCCATTAAAAAGCATTGGATGCAGCCCAGATTGCACTGCACCAGGTCTGCATCCCCTCTCATCACTTTAGTCATCAAGGCTATAAATATTAGCAACTAACGGCTAAAATAGCATTTATATTCAAACCCTGAGGAAAGATCATTTTGGTATTATCAATTCAAGCTACACTTTTTCTGATCTGTATAAAAATCTTTGACATTTTATCTCTTTTGTGCTATCTTTAAACACTTTTATGTGGAGCGTATCCCATTAGCTTATCAGACTGAGACGCTGGGATTTTTGTGCTACTACTTTGAGCAGCCAGTAGAGGGCAATGTTAGTCAATTCATCTGACATAAACTTTAAAGGAATAGTTCATCCAAAACTGAAATTTGTCATGAAGTTTCAAACCTTTGTGAGTTTTTTTTTCCTTCTGTTGAACTAAAAAAAGGTATGTAGGTAAATGGTTGTAATGGGTTACAGTTTGCTGGCTCTCTTTAAATTAGCTTGTTTTCTGTTTCCTTTAAAGGGACAGTTCAGCCAAGAATGAAAAGTCTGTCATCATTTACTCACCCTCCACTTTCTTTTTTCTGTTGACTTTCATATAGTTTTTTTTTTTGTTCACACTATTAATGTCAGTGGCTGATTTTTACAAACGTTCTTCAATATATGTATTTGTGTGTGTGTGTGTGTGTGTGTGTGTGTGTGTGTGTGTGTGTGTTCAATTATTTCTTTTTTTGAAGAATTTCATAACAGTTTAGAATCACTTGAGTGTGATGAAATGGTGAGGAAATGTACAGTGCATCCAGAATTCATAGCGCTTCACTTTTTTCTTATTTTTTTATGTTACAGCCTTGTTCCAAAATGAATTCAATTCATTTATTTCACAATACCTCATAATGACACAATACCCCATAATGACAATGTAAAAAAAGATTTTTTGAATACATCAGTATTCACAGCTTCACTCAATACTTTGTTGATGCACCTTTGGCAGCAATTACAGCCTCAAGTCTTTTTGAATATGATGGCACAAGCTTGGCACATCTGTCTTTGGGAATTTTTGGCCATTTCTTTTTGCAGTACCTCTCAAGCTCTATCGGCTTTAATGGGAAGCGAACGTGTACAGCCATTTTCAGATCTCTTCAGAGATGTTCAATAGGAACAGGTCTGGGCTCCGGGCTGGGCCACTCAATGACATTCACGGAGTTCTTGTGAAGCCACTCCATTGATATTTTGGCGGTGTGCTTTGGGTCATTGTCCTGCATGAAGATCAACCTTCGCCTCAGTCACGAGCACTCTGTACATTTCTGCATTCATCTTTCCCTTTATCCTAACTAGTCTTCCAGTTCCTGCTGCTGAAAAACATCCCCACAGCATGATGCTGCCACCACCATGCTTCACTGTAGGGATGGTATTAGCCTGGTGATGAGCCATGCCTGGTTTTCTCCAAACGTAACACCTAGCATTCACTCCAAAGAGTTAAGTTTTTGTGTGTAGAATTTTAAAATAATAAATTAAGAAATAAATTTAGAAATAAAGAAATAAATTTTGGAAAAAGTCTGTAACATAAAAAAAAAAAAAATTGGTGAAAAAGTGAAGCGCTATGAATATTTTCTGGATGCACTGTACATTTTGGAGTGAACTATGCCTTTAAACTTAGGCCAAATTAATTATTGAATGTCTTAAAGTGAGAAACGTCCATTCAAAAGTAGAGAAAGACGTTTTCTGTGCTCACCAAGATCAAGCATTTTATTTAAATGACAGTAAAATATCACAATAAATATTACAAAATACTACAATATTTTCACAATTTAAAATAAAGGTTTTCTATTTTAAAATATCTTCAAATGTAATGCATTTGGCTATGGCAAATCTGATTTCAGCATCACTTCAGTCTTTATTGTGCTGTGATTATTTAAAATCATTATACGTGGAAATATTCAAGAAACATTTTTTTATATTATTCATGCTGATATGCTCTTTTCGAGATTCTTTGATGAGCTGGAAGTGCCATAGAAAACCATTTATGAATTTTAGTTATATTTTCATTCCTTATTATCACTTTGTGAAGTTCATTTATAAACAAATTTCAAGAGGATCACGTGCTTATGATTTATCACAGCTGATCTCGCATTTACTAATCATGATCTCCCAATCATATGATTCCCTTTTGACTATAAATAACCACAGTTTCAGTCCATACTTATCTTTGTATTGGGCGGCACGGCGGCCCAGTGATTAGCCCCACAGCAAGAACACCGCCAGCTCTGGTCCTCGCCCGGTTGGCGGAGTTTCTGTGCGGAGTGTTCTCCCCGAGTCCACGTGGGTTTCCCCCGGGTCCTCCGGTTTCCTCCCACCATCCAAAAATATACAAAATTAAGTAATCCAGGCACTATTTTACTCCCTTTCTCCTCAAGTTTTTCCTTAGCTACAGCAGCCGGTGAGTTTGAGAGCTACCTAAGCTCAAGCTCCCCTCTCGCTATACGATCGGGAGGAAACCCTGGGCTCGAGGATCCCTTGAGCTCAGGGCTCTCTCCCGGGACAGCATGCCAAACAAGCTTAGATTAAATCATCAGCTACAGTAAGTGTGAACTCTTGAAAGATCAGTTAAATACAGGTATTCATTTCTTAATTTCTTTCACATGACAACGTTTTGAACTGTTTTGGATGATAAAATATTTGGCCACAGTTTAATTTAAGGTACAATACTCTTTAATAATAAACCATTAACTATAGGTTTTTCCTTTAAAAACTCATAATTTGCTGCTTATTAATAACTATTAAGGTAGTTGGGTTTGATTCAATTCAATACATGTCTATTTATATAGTGCTTTTACAATGCAGATTGTGTTGAAGCAGCTTCACATAGAATTTAGGTTTTAGGATTAAGGATGTAGAATAAGATCATGCAAAATATGTGCTTTATCAGCACAAATAAACAGCCAATGTCTTAATAATTAATAGGCTACTTAATAATCGTGCAAATTGGTGCTGCTTAAACTAAAGTCTTACCAAATTATTTGATCCTTTTTTGTTTTGTTTTACTGTCCATTTCTGCTGCCACAGAATTTTGAAATGGTTTAATATCAGTGTGAAATGTTGTCTATTACATATTTTGTCACTGTCACAAATTGACTTTAATTTATTGTATTCCTTTCTATGATCTCTCCAGCCAATAACATCTGTTTCTACGGTGAATGTTCGTACTACTGCTCTACTGAACACGCTCTGTGCGGAAAACCTGATCAGATCGAAGGGTCTTTAGCAGCTTTTCTGCCTGATCTTTCCTTGGCAAAACGCAGGACCTGGAGAAACCCCTGGAGAAGATCCTATCACAAACGCAAGAAAGCAGAGTAAGAAACAGACACACACACACTTGTATAGTTTACAAGGAATCTTCATTGGCGTAATGCATTTTATACTGTAAAAAACACTTAATATATGGCTTTACACTACCACTACACCTAAACCCAACCCTTACAGGAAGCCAGTCACTGGCAGTGGCAAATTTTGAATGTCAAAAGACAGTAAATTGTGCTTTTTAGGCATTTTGAATTAGAAGGACATTAAATAAACATGTACAGCTCGGTCAAACCCATGTCATTATACACTTGTGTCCTAGAAAACCACATAAACAAGTACAAACACACAGCTTCATATATCTAAACATACTGTTAAACATCAGCTGATGTAACATGACTCATTTTGATTGTGATGAAAGAATAATACTATTTATAATATTTTCATTGTTAAAAATCCTCAATAGCGGGATATGTACACTCACCGGCCACTTTATTAAGTACACCTGTCCAACTGCTCATTAGCGCAAATTTCTAATCAGCCAATCACATGATAGCAACTCAATGCATTTAGACATGGAGACATGGTCAAGACGATCTGCTGCAGTTCAAACCGAGCTTCAGAGTAAGGACCAAAGGGGATTTAAGTGACTTTGAACGTTAATGCCAGACGGGCTAGTCTGAGTATTTCAAAACCTGATCTACTGGGATTTTCATGCACAACCATCCCTAGGGTTTACAGAGAATGAGCCGAAAAAGAGGAGGCTACAATTGGCAAAGGCTCAACAAAATGGACAGAAAATAGGAAAAATGTTGCCTGGTCTGAGTCTCGATATCTGCTGCGACATTTGGATGTTAGGGTCAGAATTTGGCATCAACAACATGAAAGCAAGGATCCATCCTGCCTTGTATCAACAGTTCAGGCTGGTGGGGGGTGGTGTAATGGTGGGGTATATTTTCTAGGCACAATTTGGGCCCATTAGTACCAACTGAGCACTGTGTCAATGCCACAGCCTACCTGAGTACTGTTGCTAACCATGTCCATCTCTTTATGACCAAAGTGTACCCATCTTCTGATGGCTAATTTCAGCAGGATAACGCACCATGTCATAAAGCAAGACTCATCTCAGACTGGTTTCTTGAACATGACAATGAGTTCACTGTACTCAAATGGCCTCCACAGTCACCAGAACTCAAACCAATAGAGCACCTTTGGGATGTGGTGGAACAGGAGATTTGCATCATGGATGTGTAGCCGACAAATCTGCAGCAACTGCGTGATGCTATCATGTCAATATGGACCAAAATAAAGAATCTCTTTAAATATGTTGTTTGTTTTATCTGTGCAGTTTTGATCATGCAGTTTTGGCTCAGATTATCACGATAGATTTCTGTACACTGACTTTTATCATGTTGTGTTATTTATCGGTGAACAGTGTGTTTTGTATAAGCTGATGAGGTGTGTGTGTGTGTGTTTTGTAGGTGGGAAGTGGATCCAGATTATTGTGAAGAAGTGAAGCAGACGCCGCCGTATGATAGTGGCACACGTCTGCTGGACATCATGGATATGACCATTTTTGATTTCCTTATGGGTAAGATGATTTCAGAGTGTTCCTAAAAATAAAAACTGAAGCAAAATGTTTTTTATAACTTTTTATATCAATTTATATATCCATAAAGGAAACATGGATCGTCATCATTATGAGACGTTTGAAAAGTTTGGGAATGAAACTTTCATTATTCATCTTGATAATGGAAGAGGGTAAGATGGCTTGTTAAACTAAAACTATTTTTTTTAATGTTCATGTTATTATTTTTTAATGTGCTGTGGATGTTTTTGGAAATACTGTTGCATTAATTTCTGTCTCAATTTTCAGTTTTGGTAAACATTCTCATGATGAACTTTCCATTCTGGTGCCTTTGAGTCAATGCTGCAGGTCAGTTTTACATTATTGACACTATATTATTACTCAGTGTTTGTCACACCACTGCATGAATCTGCTTACAACTTTTCAGAAAATTACAGTATTTATCAAAAGTTAGCTGCTTCTTTGGTTGAAATGAATCAGTAAAACAAATATAAGGGATCATTATCTCCATGAAACTGAGATCTTTGTAAAGACATGAATGAAAAAGTAGGGAATTTTTTTTCTGTATTATTGATTTTATGGTTAGTTATATCTATTATGGTTAGTTATAACTATTAAAAATTATTTACAAAAAAATTGTATTATTTAGTATTATTTGTGTTTTTAAATGCGCTTTGCGGACTTTTAAAATCTTTTAACACATGACAAGCCATTATACTACAGGGCTGTTGAATGCTTCATGCTGATGGGCTAATTAACTTTCTAAGAAAAACACACAACTAAAGTAGTTCCAGTCACACCTTGTCCGCATTCAAATTCCATATCACTATGCTGAATGATTTCAGTTCTGTGAAATAACACAGCCTACAAATGACAAAAATCGAATCAAAACAGAACAAAAGGCTTTGTATGATGTGTACTTTAAATTTTTAGAAATAATGTAGACCTTAGATGGCATTACATCTTAGGTGTGCATTACTATTGGGAATTTAACATCCCACTGTCAATTATGGCCTGTTTCCACTGGTTTGGTACAGTAAGGTACACATTTTTGTTTGTTTCCGCTGTCAATGATTTCAAAAAAGCAAACCGTACCATGCCACTTTTTGGCACCTGTTCCAAAGGGAATCTAGCATAACAGTGCATTACTAAAAAGATGAAGCTAGACTCACAACTGAATGCTATTGGTTTACAGAGAATCATAACCAGCGCATTATACAAGCCAGGAGAATAACAACACTGAAAGCTCCATCTATAGACCATGTGGTCATGTCATTGGCCCACAAATATTTCCTGCTTATTTTCAAACTATTTCATAACTGTAACAAGAGGCAATTCCATCATAACTCAATTTAAAAACAGCTATCATAACATTATTTGTCAGTATGTGCCTCTTTTTGGATTCAGGAAATACGCTGGGACCATTGTTTTTGTTTACGTCCCTCAAAATGGTCTATAAATACACAGCCGAAACAAAACACCGTATTAAAACAGTGGGGTGTGATTTTGCCTATTACGATGCGATTGGATTACCATCTATGTTATGTATGTAATCCATACCTGTGTTATTAATTTAATCCATACCTAATTCCTACCCCTAAACCCAACCCTAACAGTAAATTATTCCCAAATTCAGACAGGAATAATAGTTGTATAACAATCATGTGGAAGTACATAGTCCTAACTGTAAGCTTAAACCTAACATAAACTGTAAACTTGCACCTTAAATCTAATTAAAATGTTGTTCTCTAGATGTTGCTCCGAGAACATGTCCTACTTGGTCAAATCACTTTAACCATAGTTAGACAATGACAGCACACAGCAATTAGTCTTGCTTGGCCTGAACTCAAACAAACCTTGTTGAAATCTGCTGTGTCTTCTATTGTTGTTTATGAGGATGCCTAAAAACATGAGGACCCCACAAGTGCTTTCGCTTTCTCTGTGTTTATTTTCGGCTCAATAATATTTAGGATAAACTTTATTTGTCCCCAAGAGGAAATTTGTCTTGGGCAAAAAGGTGATACAACGTTGTTCTAAGCAGACAATAAAATAAATAAAACACACAAAACAATTAAGAACACACATTGTTTACAAAATAAGAGCATATAAAAATATGAAATGTTTAAAGCACAGAACACAGTCAGGTGCTACTTGTATACTACTGGTGCGTTGTTCTTGGTAGAGTTCAACAGTTTTATCGAGGTAGGAACAAACGAAAGCTTTAATCTATTGGTTTTACACATTGGCATTCTTAGTCTTTTTCCTGATGGTAACAGCTGAAATTCACTGAAAAGAGGGTGTTTGGAATTAGCACTAATATTTATTGCTCTTCTCATGACTGCTTATTCATAAAGAGTCTGTTTGGGGCTTGTATTGTTTTATTCCTATGATTTTTTTTTTTTATATGAACAAATTTATTTTTCAATTGAACAGACAGATTTCCATACCAGACTGTGATTTTATAGCAAATAATGAACTTGAGTTCACTAAAGACATAATATGTGAACAATGCAGATTGCTTTATTCTTTAAGCAGGAATGGTGTTGATCACAACATTCATTCATTTTCTTGTCGGCTTAGTCCCTTTATTAATCCGGGGTCACCACGACAGAATGAACCGCCAACTTATCCAGCAAGTTTTTACGCAGTGGATGCCCTTCCAGCCGCAACCCATCTCTGGGAAACATCCACACACACATTCACACACACAATTTAGCTTACCCAATTCACCTGTACCACATGTCTTTGGACTGTTGGGGAAACCGGAGCACCCGGAGGAAACCCACGCGAAGGCAGGGAGAACATGCAAACTCCACACAGAAACGCCGACTGAGCCGAGGTTCTACCTAGCGACCTTCTTGCTGTGAGGCAACAGCACTACCTACTGCGCCACTGCCTCGCCAATCACAACATTCTTTAGTACATATTCTATCAAAGGAGTCTTGATCACGGCGACCCAAAACAAACTGTACTTTACTGAAATGAACTGATCCTTACCACTCCATTATTCCTTGTACAGCACATTATTTTGAATATGTGCCCTCTAGGCAAAACTTACATACTTAAAACCTTTGGCTCAGGTCAGGTCTTTACAATCCCGAGACCTTTGTTCATATTGGGAAAACCAATTAAATTAAATAATATTTTAGATCTGAGAGCTCTCTTATCCACCATAGACATTAAGGCCATAGACTTTAAAGTCTAGAAAAGAAATCACAAATTGTCAAAACAATTCATGTGAGTTTGGTGGTTCAACTGTTGGCCTAAACCAAGAACAGATTTGTGCACCAAACAACAACTTTGTTTATCAGTGCCGTTCACATCCTGTAATTTAGGTAATACAACGATTTGAGAGTGAGCAGCGCAGGTCAACAGGCAAGCATCTTATTGGCCATATTAATCAAACTTCCTAACCTAATGCCAAAGAAGCATTGGTGAATAATGAGTTTACAGTCTTTTGATGCACAAATGTGTTATTGGAGCTTCATACGATTATAGTTGAACCACAAAGTTTTTGATTGCTTTTCTGGACCCTTGCTATACAGTTGAAGTCAAAATTATTAGCCCCCCTTTAATTTTTTTTTCTTTTTTTAAATGTTTACCAAATGATGTTTAACAGAGCAAGGACATTTTCACAGTATGTCTGATAAGGTTTTTTTCTTCTGGGGAAAGTCTTATTTGTTTTATTTCGGCTAGAATAAAAACAGTTTTTTAATTTTTATAAAAACATTTGATGGTCAAAATTATTAGCCCTGTTAAGCTATATCTTTGTTTTTGATAGTCTACAGAACAAACCATCATTATACAATAACTTGCCTAATTACCTTAACCTGCCTAGTAAACCTGATTAACCTTGTTAAGCCTTTAAATGTCACTTTAAGCCGTATAGAAGTGTCTTGAAAAATATCGTCAAATATTATATACTGTCATCATGGCAAAGATAAAATAAATCAGTTACTACAATCATTTATTAAAAGTATCATGTTTAGAAATGTGTTGAAAAAATCTCTCCATTAAACAGAAATTGGGGGAAAAATAAACAGGGGGCTAATAATTCAGTGGGGCTAATAATTCTGACTTCAACTGTTATATGGACAGTCAGAATGCTCTCTGATTTCATCTAAAGTATTTTAATTTTAACAAAGAGCAAGAAGAATGAAGGTTTGTGGGGTCAACATGAAAGTGAGCAATTTTTTTGTTAAATTTATTTTAACTTATTTTAGGGGGGTGAACTAGTCTTTTGGGTAAATAGCTCTTTTGTTTTGGTTACTAATTGTGATCTGTTTGCCTCAGAGTGAAGAAGTCCACTCATTTACGGCTTCAGCTTGTGGCTAAAGAAGAGTTTAAACTGAGCTCTCTGATGGAGGAAAGTCTCCAGACGGACACACTGTCACCCATCCTCATCAGGCCTCATCTTGAGGCTATGGACCGCCGGTTGCGTCTGGTGCTACAGGTATTGGCCGACTGCATTGAGAAGGAGGGCTACAGTAATGTAGTGGAGGACGACATGGGCACAGAGGGCATGGACACAGGCACAGTCCCGCAGAGGTAGTGGGCACAGGCGTACTCCTCTGAAGCTCCACAGCAGCTCTAGAGACCATGAACGTTCCGCAAGAGATGCTCTTGTTGATCAACTTTTCTGAATTCAGTGAATTCCTAAAACTCATTCCTCAACCAATGGACCATGTGGATAACTAAAGATACACAGTAAAGAAAGAGATGGTGTCCTACAGGCTTGTGTTCATTTGATCCAGAAATGCTGGAGTAATGTCAAAAAAGCTGGTCTTCATATGTAACAAGACAGTGTTATAAGAACAGTGGTTCTAAACTGGGGGATCCTCACTTAAAAGGGCATTGTTTCAATGCAGACAGTCAAACATAACTATTAGTATTTATTCATTTTCTTTTCAGCTCAGTCCCTTTATCAATCTGAGGGTCGCCACAGCGGAATGAACCGCCAACTTATCCAGCACATTTTACGCAGCGTATGCTCTTTCAGCTGCAACCATTCTCTGGGAAACACCCATACACACTTATTCACACTCAAAAACTACGGCCAATTTAGTTTATTTCATAGACCTGTAACGCATGTCTTTGGACTGTGGGGGAGCACCCCGGGGAAACCCACGCGAACGCAGGGAGAACATGCAAACTCCACACAGAAACGCCAACTCACTCAGCCGAGGCTCGAACCAGTGACCTTCTTGCTTTTGGCGACAGCACTACCTACTGTGTCACTGCGTCACCCTCATATTAATTCTTATGAATAAATTAATCATATATATTAGAATTACATGTATTTGATGCTTTAATTCAAATAAAACAAATAAATACAATGCAATGATAATAATGATGATGATGATGATGATTATGATAGTTACTGTAGTAATGATAATTTATAAATGTGAAAAATAAAGCATTTTGGCTTTTTTTTTTTGGTTGACATTTTATTTAGTTTAGGACGTCCCAAATACAGGTTGATATTTGACTTTTGTAATAATCACTATAATAATTGTCGAATACATTTGCCAATTAATAGCAATGTTAATAATAATAATAACAACAACAGAAATAATTATTATTATTTTAGCTTTTAATAAAAGGATTAAAATGCTTTAATTAAAATAAAATGAATGAATAAAAATGCAATGATGATGATGATGATGATGATGATAATCATAACTAATCATTTGTTCATAAATCAAAACAATAAACTACTTTTTAAATTCCTAAATAAAAATTGAATGATTGAAACTCAGTAATAATCATAAAATAAATATTGAACAAATATACCAATTAAAATAATACTACTAATAATTATTATTATCATTATTATTATTATTTGTTAAGTTAATAATTTGACACGCTACATTATTTCCTTCCCCAATTGCTTTGAGTTACTTCTGTTTGATAAACAGCTTTCATTTTGTGTTGCATTTCCACTGACTGTCTAATGTCAAAAAGCAAACCAGTTAAGAGCCACTGTTTAAAAACATAACACAGATATTTCCATATCTTTACTGCACAACATTTAAACAGTATTTGCTGTCCCTTGGGCAAAGTATTTGAACTTTAGAGATATAGCAACTTTTATTTCCTTTTTTTAAAGAAACAAGCAAAGGATGTGCAGGACAGATCTGCTTTTTAGAGCTCAAGACTTTTCAGAAACCTAAGAGGAACTACACCTTCATAACCTCTCTCTGCTGCACACGACTTGTGCACCTTTATCTGAATATGAGGACCTTCATATCTTCAAATAAATCCTTTATACTGTCTCCAAACCAAGGAGGAATAAGAGGAACTGTTCAGTGTATTTCTCTTGACTTTTTTAGGACAAAAAGCTTTGAGTGCAATGTGAGTTTTCTCCCGAAAATGTCCCGTCTGTCATTTTTAATGTGTAAAACAAGCAGAGCTTATTTATTGAGTTCCGTATTTATTACTCCAAACGTGCCACTCATGCATTCTCCCTAATAGACATCGCAGAGACGCCTATTTAATGTTTGTGTTTACATCTGGAAGATGTATTCGTTAAAATGTTTGCTCATCTGCAAAACATCAATTAAACTTCAATTCCTAGATGTTAATTAGACATTTACAAATTTAGAAATGTTTCAAATGTTCATTCGCCATACATTTTTTAGATGTTAATGTCGAATGTTTGTACAGCAGATGTTTTCCAGACCAAACGATCTTTAAAATACATCTTGCAGATGTACATGTGCTACCTACGTCAAATCAAAGATGAAACCAGATGCAGTATTTGTGCTAGAGGGTAGATAAACGTACAGTGTATGTTTAAAATAAAACCTGACGGTTAACTGGATTTCAGAGAAATGTTTTTAATATTTACCTCCACATCAACGTTTTCAGTCAAATTAAGGGCAATATCAAAATCCCAATCATTTCAATATCAGCTTGTCAATGGTGTGACTGCTGTATTTCCACCCACATGTGACCTAAACTGTAGCTGTTAAATTGCACAAGGATGCTGTTTAAATAACAATGTCATATCGATGAATCACTGTAGAATTTCCATGCTATTAAACTGTTTTGAAAAACGTGTGGTGAATGATGATCTAATGAATGCTGCACACATTTTAGTCTCCTTTTCTGGAATTTTGACTACACAGAAATAATTTCAAATATAAGCTGATTGGCATTTTAAACAAGCTAAAAATATACAATTAGTAAACGGACACATTTAGAAATGACAGCACATGACAGTAAATTAATGCTAATTGTTTTTAGTCGTCCACAGTAACCAAGAGGTCATGTTAATTTTGCTGATTGATTTTTTCTATTACTATAATTTTGTATATATGGTATGCTTCAGAGTCTGTGTAGACATGCATGTGGATTGTAAGATCAGTGTTTTTCGGTTGCGGGTGGAAAGGGTGCGTGCGCGTGTGTGTGTGTTTATGTGGAGAAAAACACGTTTTTACAACCTGCTGAAAACTGTTCTGTAAATACGATGTGAATCCAGTGCCTGTGCAATTAGAGAAATACTTGAAGACTCGGTTGTGGAGATGACAGAGTAATCAGCAGAATAAATGTGCTTTATTGTATCATGACTACATTGCCGCTTCATACTTTCTTTCTTTATCCTGTATGTCCAGTTAGTATTTTTACATGTTAAGGAAATACATTTTGACTGTTGCTGTCATTTATTTCAGTTTCCCCCTTGGTTATGATGCAATAAATGGAGATTAAGCAAACGGTCTTATACTTCTTTTATATTTTCTGTAAAGGTGCAGTGTGTCCACTGTCATATTGCAGTAATATAAATACAAGTCTTTTTTAAAAAAATTCCTGATATTAAAATAGGACCCAAATCCCAGTGATGTAGTAGTGTGGCTTTCCCCACCCACCGATTGATTGACAGGCGCCATGTTTCTATAATAACTTGTACACACTTCCACTGAACATGTTTTGCAAATAAACTGGGATTAAAATATTTGTTACAGCTCTCTGTGATTTTATACGTTTAAAATATTTTTAAAACAGAGCATGTTTGTATTAAAGACAGTAAAATCGATATCTGATTCTTAACCGCTGTAATCACCACTCGCATTGTGTCAGTAAATGCTAATATGTGTGTGTCTGTGTATGTGTACTGCATTTGCGTGAGACTCATCATTTCAGAAAGGCTTGAATACACTCCACCACAAATATATAAAGTAAACTTACTTGGTATTTTTGAGTATAGTATTTCAGCTTCATCCGAGTCACTCTGTCATTGTGTTGTTTATCTGACATCTGACAACTATAGACTGTAAAAGATATGGACGTAGTATCTGTGACGTCACCTATAGGTTTCTGAGGAGCGCAAAAAAAGCTACAAGTGGGCGTAGCCAACCAGCACCATTTTGTTCGAGCGTCATCACTCCAACTGGGGGTGACCGGACAAAGAGGCAGAAAAAGATGCCCAAAGACGCCTGCTAGCATTTTGTTTGGACTGGCTTTTCTTTGGAAGAAATGCTTAATACTTCATTACCTGCGACACGTTTGTGTTCTGACCACATGTGCTTGGTTGTACAATATATCAATAAAGTGTTTAGTCTTTTAAAACACTGTCTTTATGAGCCACTAAGCATTGTTCTCATTATGTTTTTCCACTGGAAGACAATGTAAATTACTTCCAAACACTTCAAATATAGTCTGTGTTGGTAAATGCAAGACTATTTATAAAATCCAGGCATAACACTGTATGACAACACTTCAGATGACTGTTCTATAGCCTACAGCTAATCAATCTCAGACTCTGGAGTGCATTACAGTTCTACAGAAAAATATAAATGATCTTAAATAAAACAAATACATTTATAAAGATGGTATAAAAGTATGTAATTTCACTCACCTGGGCAATGGAGGCCACTTGAATGGTTTATAAGCACGATTAAGTGCACACAGCATGCCTTATTTTCTGATAATTGTCAAAAAAAAAAAAACATTTACAAAAAGCAACTGACTGTGTAAAACCACAAAAAACAACACATAAATACGGTGTATATGCAGAGTTCAGCAGCTAATCAGCCGGAATCAGCTGAGGTGAAGTGACGGCAACCAGCAAGACCTAGCTGTCACTCAAGTGGGCACGCCCTTTATTATGCAGACTTAATAAAACTTAATATAAACAAAACAGATGAGTTATAAAACTGTTCATCCCCTCACAGTTTTCATAAATGGTAATTCTAGCTATATGAACAAAAACCTTGTACCAGGCTGAAAACACCTTTTTTCCGTTGTAAAGTTGGCCATTTTAACAGTGGGATCAAAAGACGAATTACCAACCTACGTCACACTTGACGTCAAACGGGTCCCCTGTTGAAAAAAGAGACCGGCTGCAATAGTAAACATGTCGTGTTGTGCGGAAAGATGCCAAATTCGAAAAAAGAAAACTTAACTTTTACCATACACCACGCTGCTTTAATGGCTTCTTTGGCTAAAAGGGAGCTGAACGAAGTGACGACTCAGTTAAAAATGCTCGACTCTGCAGTTCTCACGTCATATCAGGTACATTCACACTACGCTGAATCAAACAAATTACTTATTTTTAAATGCAGCTATAATTTCACCAAAAACAGTTAAACATGGTAAATTAAACTGCCGACACTGAATCCTAAGAATGAAACATGAAAGTGTAAGTTACTGAGGTAAACTTGGTTTTATATTCACACATTCATTCAGTGACAATTTGTGACACACTCCCTATATTGTTTACCACGGCACTTTGAATATTCGGTCTGAAATAACCTGCAAGTGTGGCTTGAAAACAACATGAACACTGTTTATTTGACTGTGAACAGTGTTGTACTTTGATATTCATTGACTGCTAATATGATTTTGCTATTTAGAGTTTGCAAATTGTACTTTTATGAAATTATACTATTAAGGAGAAAGTCCAAATTTGTGAGTATGAAACCAACTTTACCTCTATGTGTATGTTCACATACCCTGCCATACAGGTGTAGTTCGCTGTCAG